CCTATCCCACCACATAAAAAATCCTCCTCCCCCCCCCCCCCCCCCCCCCCCCCCCCCCCCCCATGAGGCTAAAATAAGACAAGACTACAAGAAAAACTTCAGTTCAAAGTTCTTCTAAACTTTAGAATCACGGCTTTTTCATCCCATTTCCTGAAAGCACCAGGAGTTAAACTTACAAAGTGACACTGTCAACACAAGCCAGTAAGGAAAATTAATTACACTCATATCTTCAAGCGGTCACGTCAGCACAGACCTTGAAATTTATTTTAGGAATACACCATTAGAAATGGTTCCAAAGCAAAAGGGTATATGCACCTCGCAGTCTTTCATCTATCCTGCATTTACTTTTCCCTAAACTGTTGTGAGCGTAACAAACTTCAGAATGAAAAGGACTGACAGACGAACAAATAGCTAATAATCCTGCAGTTATCTCACACGCACCCTTTTGCATATGGACACTGGAGCATAAAAGCTATGACTGTGCCAAAGCCTGTGACAGAGGGACCCTAGCCAGGTGTTTGCAGTTCCAACCTGGCCTCCAAAGCACCCGAGTCCTTAACCCTTTTTGATGCCTCAAAGAGCCTTTTTAAGAATACAGGGACACACAAAACCTTTATGATTTTCAGAGGTACCTGGAACCAGATACACACCTCCAAATTTGAAATTTAAATGCCTTTAAATTTCCCCGTTAGTTCAGTCAGAGGAACTTAGCGGTTGGGAGTTATTTGGAGAGACTGGCTACTACACATCATTTTTGTTCTGTGAGGATCTTCAGCGTTCACCGAGGAGGAAGAGCACTTTTTTACGCTAACATATGGCAGTCCCATGGAAGCCCGCAGTGTTTCCGTGACTGCCTTTTTCTGATGAATTCAGGAGTGTACCATGTTCTGCTAGTTTTATGATTCCTCGTTCCTAAGAAGCCATCTGGGATAAAGGGAAGCCTCACAGAAAAGGCAAGCACTATATACAAGCGTCAGCTTCCTAAGTACAGCTTAAAATAACTGTTTCAGCAAGCCATGATGACAGAAGTAGAATTTCTTTGCATTTTCCAGAGCCAAAGCAGGTGGCCACAATATCCCCAACCCCCACCAAATGCATCTTCATCTAACTAGGAT